ACCTTTGTCTCTTCCTAGCTCCCCACTTCCCTAAAATGAGGGTGTAAGTTTGTATGTAACATTCGCAACTTTCAAGGTAGAAAGTATATAGAAAGTATAAATAATATTGCTATTTGTAACTAGTAACAAAGATTACCTTTCTTTTTTTTTAAACCTGTCACCAACTCCTTGATAGAGCATGAGCAAAGCCGCGGGCAGATACTAGTCCATGAATAAAATACCTAATCAAATTCAATTAACTTAAATTCGTAATTTTTCTTTAAAATTGTATTTAAAAGCGTAGTTGTTTATTAGTAAAGCTAGATAATAGCATGGCTTACCGAAAAACAATTACCGATACCGTTTTCTAGGTCAGGTCACCTCGAATTTCATAGAGATATGTAGACTAGCATGTACCAACTCAGAAACCTAAAGATTTACTTTATAATACAAGTTTTATTATAAAGTAAATCTTTACCAATAACTTTGATTTATTATTTATAAATAATGATTTATTATAATCAGGCCATTATAACTTACTGCTTAAGTGACGTAATATCTGAACGTACTTAGCAGTTGAGTATTTTTAAATTCTCTTTCATAGTTTATTATTACTAAAACTTTGACTTGTAACATATCACAAAATGCATTATTTACACAATCTCTGTAAACTTGCATATATCTAATACAAAAACGATTGGACCAAGTATCGAGCCTTGAGGAACACTTTCTAATAACCTACTACATGAGTGAAATGATCACTTATGGAACTTGAAAGCTCTATAAAAAATCCTTTATTGGTGAAACATGTGAAGGACAAGTACTTGATATACAGTAATTCTGAAATATACTATGTCTTGCCATGTCCAGCTTTACTTTGTTCAAAGAACATCAGTAATACTTTAATGATTCAATGTACTGTAATATTTTATTACTTTATTTTTTTATGGAATAAGAAGCAAATGAACAGACGGATCACCTGATGGTAAGCGATCAGTGCCGCCCTTGGACACCCGCAACACCAGAGGAGTTACAGGTGCGTTCCCGGCCTTTTAAAAAGGAATACTCTCTTTTCTTGAAGGTTTGAAGGTATTATCGGTTCGGAAATACCGCCGACGAAAATACAAGATGACATGACATAAATTGCAATACTACATCATAATTACTTTGTGTCCTTCACTTTGTGTACTACTCATCCTTTTGCACTACCATCCAGCAATGAAGGGTACAGTTATGATTGAACCATTGTTAAGCAAATATATTTTTTTTAATTTTGGCAATTACTAATGTAATAAACTCAAACGTAATTTAATTATAGGTCACTTAATTAAAATCCCATTTCGTTTAAACTTTACCTTTGAACTCGTAAATAACTCTCAAGAAGTTTCATGACAATTAAAACTCTTAAAAGTAGAAACGAAAGCAATTAAAGTGATACACGCAGTGAAGGAAATTAAAAGAGAATTAAAGTCAAAGGAAATAAACAAATTATCTGATACTTACCACAAACGAGTTCCACGTATTATTGTTTATGTAAACTCCATTTTATCTGAGTTTTTGTTTATACGGGAACTTTGTTAGAATTCATTAACGTAATAATACAATTTGAACTTAGTCACTGAATGATTGCAAGTCAAAGTACTTTCATCAAATTCACATTGTTGGTTATTTTTTTTATATTAGTACAATTGTCAATAGTTATCTGTAACTAAATACCGGAGTAATGGAGCGTGAAATTATATTGACAATAGTTTTTTTTTGTTTAAGGAAGAGAGTCGGTAAATAAAAAACTTAATAGAAAAAAACACTTCCTCTTTTTTAAATCAGAAAAAAGTAAATAGAAATGTTTTCCTTGAACATCTTTAACATTTTTACCAAAGTACACATTGTGAATACATTTTTTTTTTTGTATAAATGGATATTTATTGTGGGGCGATCCCCACACATGCAAAAGGTTTTCTATACTATATATATCTATGTTTATACATCACAAAAAACATCATCCTACTTATCATAGAAATCGCAGAAACCTTATTGTGCGTGGAACAGAAGCCAATTGTAATACCACTTCGGCCAAATATGTGTTATGTAACAAAATAAGCAAAGTCTTATCAAGGACTTACATCTCCCGGGTATAAGATAACAGATGTAAATAGTGGTACAAGGAACAAGTTGGAAACTTTGAAACTAAATCTGTACTCTAAGGAAGTATTGTGAACATCAATCCAGGCTGTATTACCAAAATTCACTTGAATAGGCCGATTAATGGCGCTACAGCGGCATATAGTTTCCCCGGGGAATGTGAGTAACGATGCCGCGCCAATCCCGGCTAATAGTTTAATAACACTATCCATGAAACTTCACGAAGATTACCCTTCGATTTTATGGTAAGATGAGATCAAAATTTCAAGGATCAAAGGAAGTTTTTATGTAGTGTTTATTTATGGGTTATTTTGGAAGCGTTATGGGGATTCTTTCCTTTATTGTATTGTGTAGTTGGCAGTAAAAGTAAGTGTTTCGTGAGGGAACATTGGTTTATGGAGCTTGGGGAACGGCTTGATATAGGCGGTTAGGTCTTATAAAGTTTATGTAGGTACCTATTGCATTATGCGTTATGAAACGTTATAACATTATTTTTCCTTTTATTTTCTGTAAGAACGTGATTGAAGTAGAAGAATCTAGATTATTTTTACCGTTATATTTTTTTAAAGTAATTGACAAATCTATCATATAGGGTACTTATGGCCCGCCCCGGCTTCGCACAAATATTTTGTCCTCACTGTGGCAGTAAAATTTTATAAGAGTTTTTTATAAACCTTTTATACTTTTCCCATTTAGAGACCTTGTTCCGAGAGTGATGCACATAACAAACAAGAATTGCCCAATACGGTGCGGCCGTCCTGCAGATACGCACGTACAAACATTAAAGCGATTAGTTATTTTTTTATTAAATTTATGCAGACGAACCAGTGGAAATAATATACCTAGTATCAGAATGAACCAGTTCTTGTGAGAGATAGACGTAACTTTGTGTCACGTTTATTAAATCCACGGCTGTTAATCCTTACAATGTTAAAAAGACAAAAAAGTTGATTGCTAATTAACATTTTTGAAAACCGAAAGATTCAGTGAGTATTAAGTAAATTAACATTATCGAAAATAGAATAACAAAGAGGGGTGTTGTAATAAATCTGTGCTTTCCTCAGTGTAGAGAGTAAATTGATGTGAATTATATTTTGTGGAAAAATAGTACATGAAATGGTATTGATTTTGAGTACTTATTAAAAATCCACTGTTTATTTGCTATGCGTTTTACGATAGAACCTAGAAGGTGTGTGTGTGTGTGTGTGTGTGTATAGAAATGATCAAGCGCATTGCTGCGAGCTATTATACAATATTTTATCATTTTACTGTGGATAATCACTACATAGTATGAAAGAAAGTTGCTATCCACCGTCTTTAAAACTACACAACGGATTTTGATGCGGTTTTTTAAATATATAGAATAATTCGTAAGGAAGGTTTATATGTATAATACATGTATATTGCACCCGTGCGAAGCTGGGTGGGTCGTTTAAAATAAACAAGGCTATAAATTAGATTGATTACGTGAACGACTATGCACTCTACTTACACCCCATGGATGATGCAGTATCCTAGCTTTAACATAGTACCTAAATAATTAATCTTAATTTCTAGTCCATTGTTCGTTGCACTTCATAACCTAATAGAGCCTCCATAGCTGTGTTGTTCTAAATGTATTCATACAATTAAAATGATTTTGCTATAATATAAACATGCACTATTAAATATTTAAATGCCTATTTGTGTTGCTTAATCAGTCTTGCAGCATTCTAGACTATTGATCGAAAAAAAAAACATTGTACCTTGGCTGAACATTAAGCATACTTATAAACTAGTTTAATACAATATTTGTCGCGACCTATGACGCATTTGGTATTTCCCATAACAATTTTTTTTAATAATTTTATTTATAACAGGTTGCTCCTTGACAATTTGAGGTTTTAGGAACGTCTTGGAGTATTTTATCTTTAAGGTTTAGTTTACCCTTGAAATAGTTTTGTAATATTTAAATTATGATAACACATCTTTGTAACACGTTAGACTTTATCTCTGCTTAGAAAATAATTAGTAAATAAAAATGATAACTCCAGTGATACTATAGACTTAGTATAAAATCATTACATTTCTTACTCACAAAAATTCTTGGTATAAAATAATCTCAATTGTTACAGATCATGCGACGATATAACACGTATTCAATATGTTTAATATTTGCGCTCAGCATCTCTGTCTTTATTATCGGCACTCAATATATCGACAATATTTTTTACCTCACATCCACTGAACGTTGGAAAAGCATAAAGGTAATAATCAAAGTCGAAGATGGTGAGGACTCATATATACAAGAAATACCAATCAAGTTCTACAATACTGTTAATCATAATGCGATAAATAAAGAAGATATTCACATTATCACGAATGAACACCAGGCCCAAGACTTGACAGTCACAAATAACGCATCCACTTTGACACACAAAGAAACACATGTGGCTACAGACATCGAAAATATATTGAATAAAGCACGATCAGACATACGACGAGAGCTCTCTAACTATAACTTATCATATTCAGGTGCTCATTCCTTAGAAGATTTAGTCATGGAATCTGGGGGACACCCGATAAGGACACTCGTTATATCATCATGGAGATCAGGATCCACATTCCTCGGTGACCTTGTGAATTCCATTCCAAGTAACTATTATCATTACGAACCCCTTCTAATGTACGGAACTAAACAAATAAGGAGTCCAAATGATGCGACTGAGGCCTTGAGCATTGTTAAGCGTATGTTCAAATGTAACTTTGAAGGTTTGGACGAGTATTTTGAATTTGAAAGTAAAGATTTGTCTCTATTCAGTCACAGTACTAGGTTATGGGACTATTGTAAGGATGAGAAAACCAACGACCTTTGTTTCAATGCGCATTTTATATCAAGAATGTGTAAACTTTTTCCCTTCCAAAGTATGAAGCTTGTGCGGTTAAGACTACGTCTCGTCGATGAAATATTGAATGATAAAGAGTGAGTTGCTAATTACTAATACTTTACAACATTTTGGCAAAGCAGTTAATTAGTACCTGCATTTGACTCAGTGAAATTCTATAGGAATTTAATTTGTGTGTTGTAGGCTTAATGTGAAGGTGATACTGTTGATGCGTGACCCTCGTGGTCTGATGCAGTCGAGACGTCACCGGCGGTTCTGTGAGCTATCTTCGGACTGCTGGGAGCCGTCACTTGTTTGTGCTGACATGCTCAGCGACTACGTAGCGGCTCGGAGCATAATGCAACGATATCCAGGTCGGCTATTGTGAGTATTTGCAAAAGCAATATGTACACTGTACTGTTACAGAAATTATTCATGAATAGTGATTATTTTTTACTTCAGTGAATTATGCAATAGATAGGTACTGATGATAATCAGTAAACAGATGTGAGTAGGTACCTATCTACTCTCATACATAATTGAACATTTTTTCCAAAAAGTATGAATCACCTTAATATTTCGACAACAGTTTTTAAATTGCTCATCTTTCAGGGTGATAAGATTCGAGGACTTAGCACTAAAACCTGATGTAACTACGCAACAAATTCTGGATTTCATGAGAGTTGATGGAAGGAAGGCATTTGACGAGTTCTTGAAGTCCCACACCAACATGGAGGTGGCTGGAGTGCACTCCACGTTCAAGGTCACCCGGAACATTCCTTTCAAATGGAAGTACACGTTGGATTACAACTACGTCGAAGATTTACAGGTTCGTTATTATTCTTAGTTTTATTCTTAACGGTGGGTTTTAGGCTTTAAACATATTTGTGGTGCAGGCGACTCTGATCTGTGCGTATACAAACATAACGAGTCTTGTTGTATAACGAATATCAGTCGTAGACTTCACTTAAAATATTATAACAAGTCCTATTTTAATAACAAGTCTATCCACTCCACCAATTCTTTAGTTAACCCCAAAAATTGTATACCACGTGTCAAATGGTAATAGACCAATAATAGAAGAGAGATTAGCACTTTAAATCATTTTTATGATTATTTAATGCAAATTAGAATAGCTTTTGTTAAAAAAATCTGTATTTTTATATTGCAGATAGCCTGCAAAGAAGCCATGCGTTTATGGGGTTATAAAATGGCGTACAACGAGACACATATGATGAGCAACGACTTCAACCCCGTGGAGGATTACAGCATCTCAAAATGAAACCACCATGCGTGGTTCAGTGAACATTTTACTCTAAAATATTACGTCAGCGTGTTTAGACGCAGAATTCTCGATATTATACTGTATGGTTTCTTGAAAAGCGGTATATTATTGGGGAACTATTGTTATCGTCATCTGCCAATGCGTATTTATAATGCAGTTTGAATAAAAAAAACAATCTTGTTTCCTAATTTAAATTTAAAATTTCAAACTTGTTTTATTTAGATTATTTTCGATTTTTGAAGGCCTAACAAAGACTTATATTTTTTTATTGATTGCTACGAGGTAGGTAATTCAGGTATTTCTGTAGGTAACTCAAAAAGTTTAAAATTATACAGAGGCGTAGTATTTCACTTTATTACACTCATGGCGGTAATAGCATCCACTGCAGCTGTAGTTACTAATTATGACGCCAATAATATGCATTAGCGCACCTAATTGGTTCTCTGTCCCAAATCACTAGTTAAACTCAATAAACTAGATGCCATTCACATATGTAAAGGTATTTTGCATGAATGCGACATATTTTATTAATTGTAAACAATATTGACATATGTGTACTATGAGGGTATTTAGTATGCGCCCTAGTTGTATGTTATCATAAATATCTTTGCATGTGTACCCTTATTTGCCTACATGTTGTCTTGAATAAATAGTTATTATATATATAGCATAGCGATAATAGTATCGCAATGGCAGTTGAATAACAATCGGTCATGTACCCTTTGAAGGACACAAATATATCGTTGAGCTATATCTTTGTTTGTATAATCCTTTTCTATAATTAGCAGCTGAGTAACTGAGAATTCAGTCAAAATTATCAGTTGTAAATCTGCCTCATTGGCCGAGTGGTCGCAAGTGCGATTGCCGGGCAAGGGGTCTCGGGTTCGATTCCCGGGTCGGACAAAGTATTACTGGGTTTGTAAAAACCTCAGTAGTAGCACGGAGTCTGGAAATGTGCCCGGTATATGGCAATAGGCTCACCCCCTATTACATGGAACTCATAATATAAATAGTGAAAAGTGGGAACATTGTACAGTGGCATTAAATACCGTAATGTACACCTCTGCGTACCCCTTCGGGGATAAAAGGTGTGATGTTATGTTATGTTTGTAAATACCTGATTTTTATGTAAGTTTTAAGAAGTTTTGAGAAGTAAATAAAGTAGATTTTTTGAAGTAAGTGACTACAAAACGGTCTGTATTCCAAGTCCAGTTCCGACTTTCTGAACTACTATACTATATGCACACCTTAAGCTCGCTTTTGTTCGATTAAAGTAACAATTCTGATCTCCTCTTCCAAGCTACTTACCTATCTACTTATTCTGTATACCTAATTGTAATACTTAATCTTAAACAAGTCCCAACGTTCACTACCTGCCATTACTATCCCTACATCTGTATCTGACCATGCAATTTCACAAGCGACTATCACATGAAAAATGAACATGCTTAATGTAAAATCGCCGCTCTGTCGCCGGCCTAACTGGACTTTATATCGTCCACAATTTGTTGCTATTGAAATGCTAAAGCGATGTCGCAACGATTTGGCGACTGCGCTCGAATGTTAAACGGTTGTTCTACTTTATTATTTTGATAGTCAGCTCTGATGTGTGTCATTACGCTGGATGCTCTACTGAGACTTCTGTTATGTAGTTTTTGTAGAATGATTCCAACAAGATAAGCCGGTAAACGAGCCGACGGATCCTCTGATGGTAAGCAATCGGCGTCGCCCATGGACACCTGGAACACCAGAGGCGTTACAAGTGCGTTACCGGCTTTTTGGGGATTAGGATTTTGAGGATCGTTGGGGATTCAGAGATTGGGGAGATTGGGGAAGGGGAGGGTAATAGGGCCTCCGGTAACCTCACTCACACGACAAAACACAACGCAAGCGTCGTTTCACGTCGGTTTTCTGTGAGGCCGTGGTATCACTCCGGTCGAGCCGGCCCATTCGTGCCGAAGCATGGCTCTCCCACACTTATCACGTATCTCTATATCTCTCTAATGTGAACTCCTATGCGCGAGTCAGGACTTATAATATAAATAAAAATCTTAAAACATATTCACGTGCTGCCAGATCGAAAAATCTTAAATACATCTTTATTCTGGACCTAATTGGATTAATGCTAAGATATTTAATTTCTGTATAGAAAGATCTTTGCGTATTTTACATAACTTTATTGCTACATAGTCAAATACGACGAGACATAATCAGAACCCTAATCCCAGTAATCAAATCAAAACCAACCTACAGAGATTTAACAGCAGAACGAACAAATTACAATCATGAGAACTAAGACGGTAGTGGTTTAATTGCAAGGAGTTTCGGTAGATGTAGAGTGTAATTTATGAGTGTAACATACAAGAACATGGCGTAATCAAATAACTAGCATCAATAAGCGGCGTGTGTACCCGCGACGGCGGGCGGCGTGCTACTGATTAATGAATATGGAACGTTCTTGCTTCATTCGAATTCAGAATGATCTCGCCCCCCACCCCGCACCTCTAACGACTAACCAAATTAATATTTAGTTAGATCACATTCACTTTGAACTTGTGTAATTTGATCTCTAATCAGTGAAATTATACTTTTATGTTCATTGCTAACGTGGTATATATTGACCAACATTATGACAGGATTTGCCTTACAGTTATCTATTGGAAGTAAAGGATAAAACTTATAAACATGTTTTTATTATGACATAATTATGCCTTGACTGAACTAATGTATAATATTTTATAGAACTGAAGTAAAATCACATCTCTACTATTAAATTCTATTACATCTATTATTACTCTTACTATTATATCTACTTTTACATTGACTTCTAAGTTGCAGTGGTCTCTCCTCACCTGCCACAGGAAGCTTTGTTGTAACAACACAAATTTTGGCACCTGTTTAATATTATAACCGTTTATATTGATGGTACATAATCTTATTCAAATTGTTCACTATCTCTGTGGAGAAAATCTTAAAGAGATTATAACACATTTGCATGTTTCAAACGGATTGTATTGATTGGAGGTTTTCTAAATTTACATCTTAATATTTCACTACTAAGGCATAATTTCAAACTTTGTGCTACTATCTTCCATCTCATAACCTTAAAGTTCTTCTTAAAATGAGGAATAGTTCACTTAAGTGAATCAACAAGTGTCGACTTACTACTTTAACCTAAGAAAATTTAACAAACTGAGTATAATTTTCAAATTTAATACTTACAAAAGAATGACACAAAAACAAAACGCGAATTAATTGCATTTCTCAAAACACAGTTGTCATTTAAATTGTCTAGCCAAAACAATTTCTCATTTTGAAATGATATTCGAGCAAGGGCCATAAATCGAGCGTTTTCCTTATTCCGGCCGAACATTAACACAAACATTTACAAGCCTCGTAGCATTTAATACGATTCTAAACAATACAGAGTGTTCCAAATTACAACGCAGACAATTTTTCTCGTAACATCTGCACAAGCAATCCGCGCTTCATCCCGTTCCGAACCTATTTTATTTACAGCAAACAATTCTTTTGATAAATCGTTTTTAATCCGAACAAAAAGCAGGATTATTCCAATTTGACGAAGAAAAAGATTTTCATAATGGAATTAGTTCATTTGGAGTCCTCGTGAGAAACGAAGGCGGACATTGGAAATCTCTCGCGATCTCGTTAGCATTGGAATATTCTATGAAGATTAAACGTTATTCAGTTTGATTTGAATGCGAACGTGCCTTTTGTCATACGATTGCACTGAATGGCACCGTCTAATGGTCGGCAAATGAGTGCTTTTGAAGCTGCCATGAATATGGAAGACTCGCTCGTGTTGCTCCTACTGCGCCAGACCCCTCGTTGTTCTTACTGCTTCGTTTATTGTTGTATATTGATTTAACCAGTCTAGTATTCAATATTATTCAGTCAGCTATTAGTTTGCATTGCATTTAATAAAAAAATGAATGAATAAAACCAAAAAATATTTTTGCTCTCAGTTTATTTGTTCGTCTTATTGCAAATGTTAGATAGGACGATGTTTAACGGACAAAATTCAAACATATACCTACCTCAAAAAAGAAATATTTTCCTAAAATGTACTCACACAGGAAAGTAAACACGTTCGACGCCGGGGAATATTCTCACCACACACGAGGGTCCAATCCGCCGTGCAAATATACGAGCACAGCTTAAATAAAAGCAGTATGACAAATCTGTGGTATTGGCAAGGATTACTAGTGTAATCCGTAATCAAGCGGCCGTCAATCCAGTGGACAATGTGATTTATGCATTTCTAGAGCTCCATTACGTCAGTATTGATGGATGGGGTGACTAAATAGAACTGGTAGGCTGCCCTAGTTGGGTCATTTGGCTAACAAACAGAACAATCTCGTCGCTGGGAACAAACACAGTTACGGTAACTGACGACACCATTATATGTTATCTTGTTAACGAGCCTACTAAGTATAATGTCCTATGTGAATTATTTTGGCCAGTTAAAATGTATTTCTCAATCGGGAATTTTTTAATTACAAGCCATTCTGTAATACTTAAATTACTAGCAAAAAGTAGGTGTGATATCAATACACGTTCGCTAGTATGTGTTGCCACGACATAGATTTCTAAAGAAAGTTTAATGTCAACAGGTCAGGTCGGTACATCGATGAAACTTAGCTATTAATGTCTGGAAGGCGTAACTTAGTTTCAATAACTTTCACATATCACAGAACTCAACTGATAATCCAATCAATCATACGATCCATCTTGTTCCTGTCAAATATAGTTCCAATCACTAGAGTTCCGAGTATGATTGTAACTTGCTATCATACTCGTGAATACAGCTTCAATCCATTGATAGTTACTGCGGTAATTTAGAATATTGACAATAGAACCATCAATAATATCGAAACCACAGTATCACATGACATCACCAGTTATTGACATGCCATTTCCATGCATACCGGAATGAACTACCTATTAGATCTTTGTTTTATTTAACATCTACTTTTGTTTCGTTATCAATACTATGTTATTAACATCATCTTATAGGATTAAAATAGATCCGAATGGACTTTAAGTTAATGAAGTCATAAATAAGTTCAAAGTTTCGTGC